TAGATATACATATAGATATAGATATAGATATAGATATAGATATAGATATAGATATAGATATAGATATAGATATAGATTTAGATATAGATATAGATTTAGATATTTACAAATAGATATTTACATATCTGTATATATGTATATATATACGTATTCCTGATAATTTATATAGCAGGCCTCTTCGTCTTCGGAATCATAAAACTTTGGCTCGTCGTAAACCTGGCTGCAGTTCGCGGGTGGCTACGGGATGGCCGATGGGATGAGGCTGAATCTTGCAGGACGGGAGGTGAGGTCCAGGGTTCGAGCTGGCAGTTTCGAGCGCCCGGAGTGAGTGTTTGGAGTTTGGGCTGCAAGATGGACTTTGACCATTAAATACTCCCTGGGAACCCCTCATACACGCGACGAGATCCGTTTGGATAAAAGCCATCCTTTGTAGCTTCCGCAGAAACAGAATAATGAATAGCAACGTGCTTAACGGGGTGTTTGCTGCTGTTAGAGCTCGGCATTGGTGACTCAATGATGGCCATGACGAAAAAGGGTTGCGAACGAGCCCTAATTCCCACTCCCAAAATTTTGTGAGCCCTGTGCGCCAAGAGTTCAAGTTTCAATGTTCACTGTCGGAGATTTTAGACATAAGGTCAACGGGATTACAATCAATAGTGCATCTACAAGTTGGGTGTCTACGGTTTTGGGATTTGGGGCGTTTCAATGTCCCGAGTTTGAAGGCAAAAATACATACAGAGTCACCAAGCTCATAACAGTGTCACCGAAGCGTGAACGACAGAAAAGCAAACACAACAAGATCCTACGAACATGTCCAGGCAAAAATCGTCGTCAACATCATCAGCACCATCATCGCCCGCAGAATCATCAGGGCCAAATTTTGACCAAGCGCACAGTTCACACTTTGCGATGGCAAGACTACGGTGACAACTACAAATGACGGTTACATAAACATACATCATAAAGCTAAACACCGTTGCTATTGCGAGTATCAACACAGGTGCCACGACCTCCGGCGCCATGAAGCGTGGCGTCCCACACACTGTGGACGAGTAGGGGCTCAATGCCTCCCGAAAAGCGGAAAATCCCAAGTCTTGGTGCTTGCTGGGGTTCCGGGAACAGGATTGAAGAGCTACGACTCTAACGCGTGGCGATAAAGGGCTAAGACTCAGACTACAAAACTGTAAAACTGTTTGGGGCCTCGCAATTTAGTGTCTGCCATGGCCTTTCATATTTCAACATGGTTTGAGCGGCTCCGGTTTGTCGTTTCAGAATTTTCACAAGCTTCGGGCTGCAATCGCTGGGGCGCTGAGTCCCGGCGTCCACCTTTGGGTTTGCAGCAAACACGGGACAAGGCCGAGAACTGACGGTCTTGCGAGGATATCTTCGGATGAGCTTGCGAGTTGAAATTCAGGCTACCACAGGAAACCTGAAGAGCTCTTGGTATTGGGGGATGCATCTGGGACTCTCATCTGCCCTCTATAAAACAACTGTTGTTTTGATGCTTGGTCGTCCGGACCCGCATCCTCAGAAACAATCGCTACTGTCATTGTTAGGCTTACCAACACTCTTTATCATCGCCATGATGGTCGTCATCACATTCGTCACTGTCTGAGCCAGCACTGTCACTGACATCAAAACTCATGACTAGCACCATTACGCTCCTTGCAGCACGTCAGGGACATCATCTGCGCGTGTGTATTTACCGCTGGTAACAGCATGCTAACATGAATCGACTGCTAACACCGAACCGATATCACAATTGCTGCCGGGATGAGCGACGGCAACATATCAACACGTGCATCATTGACTGCGCTCGCACTGCATGTCATGCTGACCATCTTCATCACCATCATCAACTTCACCATCCTTGCCTTCGTTGCTACTATGCACGACATGCCATCATCATCTGCTTCACCGTCATGTTCATCGTTACCCTCTTCTCGTTCATAATCACCTGTGATGTCATGACCGTCCTGATCTTCATTTTTTCCAGCCACAGCATCTTTACCACCATTATCGTCATCATCACCATCACCATCATCACCGGCACCAGTGGCGCCATTGACAGGCTTCTGATCATTACTTTCGCATCCGGCATCTTCTCAGCAATACCATCGTCATCACCGCCACCGTCTCTAGCATCAAGAACATCGCGACCATTGTCACCAACTCATCAGTCTCACTACTCTAACTGCTCTCAACATTATCATCTTGGCTCACGATGTTCTCACCCTTGCTCACATCATCACCGCTAAGCTCGTTGCAAGCGTTATCAGCCATGTCCTGTCATCATCTTCATCATAAACGTTGCTGTCGCCGTTATCATCACAGCTGCCGTTCCCATGGAGCCAGGGCTATGTGCAATTTGCGGTTTTTGGCTGAATTTTGCACTTGACAGCGAACTTGACCCCATGAGCAAACTGCGAACAAGACAGCCAATGGACCAGGAGGGGATTGCTGCTTCTCGCTAGGTGAGGAACTTCCCGAAGCGAAAAGTGGTAATCCCGAAGCCATGCAGTTTCCTTGACTCCCTCAGCATTGGCCCTCTGAGCATCACGCACAGTGCGAACTCTTTTTCTTTCCTGCACGGCTTCTCCGGCTATGAACGCATGAGCCATGGCCTTGCACGCGCAGAGTCGATCCTCCTCTGCCTTGGCTAGCAGCCTGCGAGTCCAGTCAGCGCAGGAAGGGTGCGTGTTCCTTGCCGGGCCAACTAACACCTTCATCTTCCTGGCTTTCGACTCGCTTGTGAAGGGGTAAGACCCCTTCAAGAGGATATACATGATGACTCCTATGCCCCACAAGTCTGCCTTCGAAGAATAATCGCAATCGTAAACCTGCGGGGACCAATACTGCTCTGTGCCGACGCGACTGCACATGCGGTCATCAAGTCCGGCGGTTCGCGCTGAACCGAAGTCTGTCAGAACAATTTTGCATCGTTTGTCCATCACGTCCTCCCGGTCCCTGAGATAATTACTGCACTTCACATCTCGGTGCACTATGCTCCTCTGGTGGAGGTAGTGGATGGAGGTAATCATCTGGCAGGCAATGTGCGCCACGTCCACAAAGGCTTCATCGACGTCCCTGATCGCACACGTAAGGTCGCCCGTATATTTGTCCATCACCATGAAAACCATTGAGTTTTCGTCGTTGTAAAGACCAAGGATTTTGACGATGTTTGGATGGTCCATCGTCCTCAGGGTGCACAATTCAAGTTGGGACGAATCTTGGGCAGCCATCGTCTTCACAGCGAACTCCTGGTGCGTGAGGCAACTCTTGCAGACCCGTACGCTGCCGAAGGAAGTGTAGCCGCCAATTGGTAGTAATGAGCAAACGGCTCAAGAGAAAGTTCTGCAAACACTGCCGACGAAGACTGCGAGGACGACTCAGATGGACTTCGACTCTGCTTATCGATCTGGTTTCTGTCGGAATCAGCCAAGAGGAGCTCCCGCATTTGCAGAAGATCCAAGCACATGACGGTTCCGGATGATGCTCCAGACGGTAACACACTGGCCTCGCCGGCCAACTTCACGTGCACGGGCTCTGTCATTGCATGCAAGGAACCAAACGCAGCTTGTTCCTGATTGGTGGTCGGAGTCAGGTGATGCTCGGCACTGCCTTCACTGCCGTACTGCAAGCCGGCCCGCCCCTTGTCCCTGATGCCGCAGCACTCGCATAAATTTCCCATGGCGATGGTTCTAGGTTAACCATAAGAATGCGACAGGTGCCCGAATCTCGAAGGTCCCTAGGATCGAAAAGGTTTGAGCTGTAGGGTCCGATATCCATACGCTGACTCGCATCAATCCCTCTTGCTGATGTAGATGCAGTGCTAGTTACAAGCAAACACGCGCAGATTCGCTCTAAGTACAGGCGTACCCCTATCTATTTGGGTGCTGTGTCGCACAGACAATTGCTATCATACGGTGACTCCTGGCTGCTTGGAAAGACAGATGCATGCGAAAACGGACCTGTCCTGGAAAATCATGTGTTCGCACCAGCATGGCTAGAGAGGGAAGTCTAAATGCTCGGACGTCCTAGCTAACCCGCTGGTGCCTTTTCGTCGTTGTCGCTGTCCGGGTCTGCACCTGCTCACGTGTTTGGCGGCTCAGTGGGTCGTAGCTCAGGTTGCCCTGTGTAGAAGCGGGGATGATGTTGCACCGCACACCAAACAATATTAGATTCTATATATCATGCTCATTCGATGTACTGCAGTTTCAACCCTCACTCTACATCTTAGGAGTACGTAATCGTAATAGTGATAGAAACAAGCTTAGGTAGTTGCAAGTAATAGTAAGAATACAAACAAGAGTAAGAGCAACATAAACAAGAGTAAACCCTAAACCCTAAACCCTAAACCGTAAACCCTAAACCCTAAACCCAAAGAGTAACAGTATTAGGCGAAGTGGAAGCCTCGAGCACTCAGAGGCAGGCAACAGGTCTTTCGAGAGTTTCCCGAGCCCCGGAAATTGGGACCCCAGCTTTCGTAACAGCTGTTGAGTTAAGGCTTAGGACCCTAATCCTAAACCGTAATACCCTAAACCCTGAACCCTAACCTAAAACCCTAACCCTAAACCCTAACCCCAAACCCTAAACTCCAACCCTAAACCCTAAACTTGGATTTAGAATTCGAGTTTCGAGTCTAGGGCTGAGATCTGAGTCTTTCTGTTGAGCTCTGAAACGGCCCTGCAATGAACAGCCTGGATGAGGGTAATAAAGGGGCCTTCATAGTTAGAAATAGGGGTTTGGGGTCCTTTAGAGTTTCAGTATGATAGAAACCCTATCCCGATCCGGATCAGGAGAGCTACTGCAAGTGCTGGCTGTCCTTCGAAAGTCTCTTCAATACGTACTTGATATGAATAGCGTCACCTGCAATGCAATGCTCGATGCCTGCGATCCTATGTTTCACTGACTGCCGGCTTCGCGATTCCCTGATGAACTTCAGCAGCAAGCCTAGTTGTGTTCCAGCTCCTTTGAATCAGTCAGAAGAAAAGCAGAGAACCAAAACACTACGATCTCAAAAACCTTCCCATGCAGAGCCATTACCCAGGAAGGAGCCGAGGATGAGTCTTAGGCTGGGGAAGAGGGTGACAAGGCTGACGGGGATACATGATACGGATGATGACGGTGGCTATCACCTTTCTGAAGATCCACTACTTGGAGGTTCATGGGTAGTTATAAGTAGGGTTATAAGTAGGGTAACTATAGTTATAACCTATATTAGGGGACTTATAAATCTGCTAGCACCTTTGTTACTTACATGAATATATTACCCTTCGTCTTGCGACGTCCTGGCAGTGGCGGTGGGTGGGTGGTGATGACGACTGCTTAATGGCTACCTGTTGTAAAGCCAGCACCATCTTGATTGGCATAACTTACCCTATGGGTCCAAGTACATAATAATCATGTACTCTCCCAAATAGTAACCCTTGGGGTTAGTATGAAAACCACTGAGTTGGCAAATAGTCAGCATCCTCTCTCTTCTCATTCTATCGGCTGTTGACACAACGCAAGAACGACGACTCGTGGTCATGATCATTAGGACAACAGGAAAGCCATAACATTCAAGGAGGTGATGCTGTGAAAGCTTGTGCTATACTGGGGTTTCAATGTCACAAAAACCCTCTTAGCCGTCATATTGTCCGAGGAAATGTTTTCTTGTGCCACTTCCCTTATCCCGCCTTGTCCCTCATAGTAGCCCTTATAGTACCCCTTATCCCTGCCGTAACCATTGCAGGAACCCTCAGAGTACCCCTTACAGACATATACAATGCCTGAAGAAGTACCAATACTATTCCTAAGGGTTCGTACTCGTTTAATAGTATGTATAATGTACCACCCAAACCTTTTGACATTCTAATTATGTGATCCCCTATGGTAACCCTAAACCCTAAAACGCTAAACCCCAAACCCGAAACCCTAAAACCCTAAACTCTAAAACGCTATCAGTAACCCTTACGGCGTGAGCCCCCGGCCTTTGTCCAGAAAGCTGGGATCCAATGACCGAGCAAGGCCAAAGTCCGCGAGCTTCGCCACGTTGTCCTCGGATTTGGTGTCTTTCGGGTTTGGGGTTTAGGGCTCTAGGGGCGTAGGGTGTGGGGTTTTGGGGTCCATCATGCCATAATATAACAAGGAACCCCCCAAAATTGTATGGGCAATTATTTAGGCCGTGGAGGCCCCTATATTAGGGGCTTAGGGGTGTAGGGTTTAGGGGCCTTTAGGTTTTGGATGTTTTGTCCTGGCATCGTGTGGGGCATGAGGGCTTCATGCCTTCGGGGTCTAGGCTTCCACAAGTTTCGGCTTTACTGGGAAGAGCCTTGCTGAAGCAGTTTGGGAAATTCAGCCACGGTTTAGGGCTTTTGTTTTGGGGCTTAAGGCTTTTGTTTCAGGGTGTAGGGCTTTTGTTTTCAGATTTCGGGCTCTTATTCTAGGGCTTAGGGCTTATGTGTTAGGACTTAGGACTTTTGTTTTAGGTAGGGCTTCTGTTTTAGGGTTTGGTGGTCGATAGGGTCTTTGCATGTTGGCCCCTTGCGTGCAGCATTGCTAGGAGTAGAACACCATGGCCAGCAGGACTATTGTCCCCAACACCATGCTCCTTCATAGGACCTTTGCCTATGCCTGCTGGTTGTTGCAGCATTTCTATGAGTCTCAGAGTGGAAGCGAGCGTCTTGGAAGGTGACCAGCACGTTGTCAGGCTTCAGGTCCCGAAACACAACCTCCAGGGGTTTCACCATGAGCTTCGGGCCGCTGGCTCGACCCAAAGCACATCATGCTTCTGAACCCCGCAGTTAGCAGGAAGGATCAGTTCGGGCAGACATGGTCAAAGTGCTATGGCCGCTGTGCAGGTGCCGGGTCCGGATTTCAAGCTTGCTACCATGCCTTATTCCGCTGTCATGCTGCTTGCGCTGTCTTGCTGCTCCTACCAGGGAGTGTGAGTAAGCACGTGTGTACACACACTCCTGCATATTTGATTACTCATATCGATGTTTGCAGACGCACCGCACCATAAGAGTGGTCGCCGGCTTTCGGTCTACATCGTCTCCATACATACTTGCATAAGCATCTACATATGTGAGCGTGATTTAAAGTAATACAGCAATTCATATGTGTACAGACTAAGCCAAATGCACTCCGAATAGTACGCATGCCTGCCGCGTTCCTATTGTATGTACCTAAAACATCCACAAACTTGCATAGCTATAAGTGTACATATATATATATATGTACATATACCCACACACTCAATTGCACACAGATGTGCGTGCATGTATGCATACATAAACACGTACAGCACTGTGGCGTTGCATCTTACGTTGCGTATACACGCACATGCAAAACAACACATTTGCCTTTTACTAACTTGGAGGGTGTACATAGATACATGTCTATGTCTGACCCGGCGCGCCGGCAGTACCGAGCGCAAGCACTTTTCCTTCATGAGCACTCCTCCATAAAGACTGAGGCAATACGTATGTCAAGAAGTATCCGCAAGTCCGCAAGTTTGGCTGCTTCTCATACTTACATGCATATGCAACGCGGCTACATGTGCATGAATATATAGGCATAACAAGCGCATATATATATATATATATATGTGTATAGATTTAGACATAGATATATATATATATATATACATATGTGCATATACATATCAATATATATATATATAGAGATATATACATTTTGTATTTATATGTCTGTCTGTCTGTCTGTCGATCTATCTAGCTATCTATCTACCTATCTATCTGTCTATCTAAGATATCTATCTATCAATGAATCTATCTATCTATCTATCTATCTATCTATCTATCTACTAAACATGTGTATATATATATACACATGCAAGCATCCGGAGGAGCATGCTAAAAGTTTACATATGGGTAGATTTGATTGAACGAAAGGGTGAAACAATGAAGGACAACGAGGAATGAAGGAACACGTTGAGGCATGGATGCATGGATGGATGCATGGACGGATGGACGGATGAATGAATGCATGTAGGTAGTTAGCAAGGTAGCTAGCAGAAATTCTACGCCCACGCATGCATGCATGCATGCATGCATGCATGCATGCATGCATGTATCAATGTAAGCATGTACGTACTATGTAGGAATGCATGTAATATGGATGCCTGCATGTATGTTTGCACGCAAGCCTGTGTGTGCATATGTTTGTCTTCGTACGTATCTATGCACGTATATGCGTTTGCACATACGGGTGTATGTAACTGCAGGTGCCTGTCTGCATGGGTGTACGGTTTGGATATGTGTATTACATACTGCACATGATCCCGGAATCGTTTTTCGTTGAACCGAGGTTTGATTTACCAGATTCGTGGGTCTGCGTGCATTTCTGCGCCATAAGCAGGCTCCTGATGCGTTTGCTGCAAGTCTGCCTAACCATGTTATGTAGCATATTATGTATAAATGATATCTTACACCGATGTGCCATGTACATCTTTGTAACATATGTACATGAGAGAGAGAGAGAGACAGAGAGAGAGAGAGAGAGAACCAGAGAAAGCAAGAAAGAGAGAGAGTCAAAGACACAAAGAAAGTAAGACAGACAGAAATGAAGAAGTAACACTTAATGCAAAAACAAGGATCGAAAGAAACGAATCAAGACATATTACAAAAAAGACAAAACTAAAACACAGTGAAACCTAAAGAAAAAAACGTAACGAACCCTAAAGAAATAATCAATCAAATGAATAAAATTCAGAAAGAAGGAGAGATACTCATGTCATGCACCAGACACTCAGACTCAAATCCTAGAAAATAGACCCCCGCCAAAACCGTCGCTACGCTTCAAAATACGCCCCTGACCAACCCCGAACCCTTAAACCCCAAACCCCAGACCTCAGAATTTCCCACTGAAAAAGGAAGTCGCAGGCCCACCTTTTGTTGATGCAGGTACTCCAAGGCAAGTGTGATGCAAGCAGCATAGCGCCTGTGGCTCGAGCTGACAAGTACGAATCAGCTCAATTGATGTCAGTCTTATTACTACTGTTCCTCTTGTTACTACTACTACTACTACTAC